TTTTAATAATAGTCTTGAAAATGAAAAGGATGTTCAATTAATCCAACAAGAGGAACCATTTGCGGCAAAGAAAAACAATGCAAGCAAGGCACCAACTACATCTCTAATGACACCGACTCTTAAAAAACTTAAAATTGCAACAACAAAAGAAATGTAGCTTCAATCCACATTACTTGGAAGAACAACTGTTGATGGTGCGTGAAAATCGCATGCTCATTGCGGAACAGCGAAAAAAAAATGAACAAGAACTGTATAAAATACAATAAGAGACGGTAAAGCTTACTCACGAACTAAACAGATACGGTCTTAACATTCCGCCACAAATGACTGATTTGGAAAATGCTGGCAAGGCACAAAGTTCGAAAGCATATTCGTACATGCAGGATTTATATTCATAGCTTACTTATAAACAATTTTAAATGTAAAATGTTGTAAGTACATTAGTTACGAATTTTAACGCGGTATTGGCATTTTGTATTAGGGTTGATGTTTTATATATTTGTATTTGTCTTTGTAATTGTGTATATGTATTACATTTCCTTATTTGTATACTAACTCATTTTTAACATATATGGCTTTTAATTACTTTTAGTTATCTTGCAAAACTTAAAGTACGTATTGAGCAACCTTAAAATGCACATTAAAATGCTATATTTTAATGGACCATTAAATTTAATTTTATTCGTGGAACAGAGATAAATTAAGGTGGCAATACCGTTCCACGAAGCATTTTAAACCTAATGTCGTTCGTGGAACGTAAATAAAATTAAGTGGTCACTTTACAAATATTTAATTGACCCATTAAAGTTAAGTGGTTTCCTGGAACCGGCTCCTGAACTGTTTGCTGTGGTAGTATAGTTCGTTTCATTTTTAAGACATGTAAAATTAGGAACACTTTTTAGCATTATTCGATATTGGTTGCAAATGTTTTGTCCAATATTGTATATATATATATATATATATATATATATATATATATATATATATATATATATATATATATATATATATATATATATATATATATATATATATATATATATATATATATATATATATATATATATATATATATATATATATGATTTAAAGGATAACATCTTGTGTGAGAGTATATTTATATATTATTTTAAAACATCAAAAATACGATTTCTCTCAACACTTATAATTTTTTATTATTATAGAAATTTTCGCTGGATTTTAGATACCAGCTTCTTCAGCTTGTTAAATGTTACAGTAATTAGTAAACCGTTATAATTTAAATTAAAATGTTGCTATTGACGTCAGCGGTTGAATGGCTTCTTTTTCGCTGAAATTTAAAAAATGGCGTCCAAAACTTAGTTTTTACGTATTGACCCTCATCGAGATTAATCCCGCCATTTTTTGCAGAACACATGTTTTTTTGTATTTCTAGGGCTTCCCTAACTTTTCTTTCAAATTTTTTATTTTCTACTTTCAATGTTTTTGTTTGTTCCCAAATAATTTCTTTTTTGCAAAATGTTTTATGCAGAGCTAATGCAGATTGATGCTGCTTATTTTCATCAATGCTTTTTTGGTGTTGATGCATTCTTGTATTTACTTTCATTTTTGTTTCGCCTACATACACTTTTGAACAGTTGCATTTGATTATATATTTTCCTGGTTGACTGTTATTAGGTAATTTTGATTTATTCTTTGATGTTAACAGGGATCTTAAGTTTGGGTTTGATTTGAATACCGCTCTGTAACCAGCTTTTCGGAATATTTTCCTAAGTTTTGGCGAGAGACCGGGTACCCATGGTAAGGAAACTACAGGATAATTATTGATTTCAGATGGAATTGTAATTTTATTTTGTCTTTTGTGTTGAAACTGATGCGCAGTATTCATCATTTGAGTTTTATCGTAACCATTTTCAATAAACACGTCGATTAGAAAATTTATTTCATTTTGCAAGTAAGAATTACTACAAATTGAGTAAGCTCGGTGGAGAAATCCTTTAAAAATAGAGTTCAAGATATTTGGATCATGATTTGAGTGTGGCTTAATTTGAATGTTAGTGATAGCATCTTTCCGATACACTTTGTATTCATACTTTCCTGTTTTTTTATTCATAATTTGTATATCCAGATAATTTAGTGTTCCTAACTCGTTTTCAACTTCAATTGTATACTGGATGGAAGGATGTTGTTGATTTAAAATGTATTGGAAATGTTTTGCTTGGTTGAGATCTGGAAACCTTGCGTGACTATCATCGACATATCTTAAGAACGATTTGAGGTTAAGTGCAGGGTTGAAATTTAGTGCAATTTTAATTGCATTGTTTTCATGGAATTGTAGAAATGATTTTGCAAGAACGACCATGAACGAAAGAAGCTGGTATCTAAAATCCAGCGAAAATTTCTATAATAATAAAAAATTATAAGTGTTGAGAGAAATCGTATTTTTGATGTTTTAAAATAATATATATATATATATATATATATATATATATATATATATATATATATATATATATATATATATATATATATATATATATATATATATATATATATATATATATATATATATATATATATATATATATATATATATATATATATGTATATATATATATATTATATATATATATATATATATATATATATATATATATATATATATATATATATAGAGAGAGAGAGAGAGAGAGAGAGAGAGAGAGAGAGAGAGAGAAAGAGAGAGAGAGAGAGAGAGAGAGAGAGAGAGAAAGAGAGAGAGAGAGAGAGAGAGAGAGACATTTGTCGATGAGATGGAAATGGCTCATTTGAGATTGAGAACGCTACTTCAAAAAGTCATCATTTAAAATAATTTTCTGCACCAATCTTATTTTGGGATATCTCTACCATTTTAAACGTTACCGTTTTTATTTCTAAACTAGCCTAATGTCTGACAATGTGGTAGGCTTGAAAAAGCATTTTCTGTAAACGTAAAAAAATTCTTCAGGTCAAAAAAGAATGTCACTTTTTGCGAGTATTGTTGCACAAGCTTGATATTCATATATGATCCAGCTGTTATTTTCTGGCTCACACTAAGCTGGACTGATAGATCACTCGTAAGCTCTTTAAAAATGGACTACATTACATTAATTTGTATAAAAATGTTTTCTCCAAATGGTTGCTAATACATTGCCTATAGTTAAAAGACCTATAAAAGTTGAATTTAAAAAGGTCAGAGTATCATTTATACTTAGCTGATACACATACGTTGTTGAAAACGTTATAAAAATTTTGAATGTTGCGTTGGCACAGTATAGGTCACTAACGTTGTTACTAACTGGTTACAAATCCAACGTTGCCAACAACAAAAAACTAATATTTCTATTTTAGAGATTAGAAGTATTTGTTTATAGACATGATCAGATCTTGTAAAATATCAATACCTTAAATAGAAATGATAGCCGAAACCTATGTTTTAAAGATAGATTTCCTCTTTTACTTTTTATAGTTTTTGGAAAAAGTGAAAAAAAATCTTCATTAACAGCTATGCTTAGTATATGTGAAGAAGAACTTTTTACAAACGTAACAAGTTACTTTTTTTGTTTATTCAAAACTTTATTAATAGTCAATTGCATGCAGTAGTTTTTTTTTTTTTTTTTCTTTTTTTTTTGTATGCATTTAGGTGCTCCCAGAAGTCCTTACGGTCTTATCATAGAGCACCGCGGGTGAGCATTTAACAGGAAGTTCACGCCTCCTTCCGTACCAATGTCGCTTGTTGGGCTGGCGCTGGCATCGAACCTCGGACCTCTGGGTTCTGAGCAAGAACTCTAACCACTGCGCCACGGCTGTTGGTTTTAAATAGTTTAGAAAACAAACTATTTAAAATCAACATAATTAACTGAATAGGCAATACAAACACACATATTGTAAAAAATGCCATAAAAAATTGGTAACAGCAAGCATAACAATGTACTTAAATATAGTATCGTGCATAATTATCTTGCAAAAAAGTAAATACCTTCATAATATAGTAAAAAGAATAATTGCATGCATAAAAAAACCGTAAAACGAACAAATAAATTTATAAGTTCCCAAAAATGGCATATTTTGCTGTAATAATAAATAAACTTTTTTTATTTAAAATTTACAAAAACATTTTTTCTCTTTCCAATGTAAAATACTTTTTTTGATAACCTGCAGAAGTATTCACTTTTTTCTTTTAAACTAACGGAGAATTTGAGTCACCTTAGGAAAAAAACTCAAAACAGCCGATTTTAAAACGAAAGGAAATAAATAGCAATCTAATCCTGCTGTTTAGGCTCCGTACATTATTCCTTCATTAGTTAGATTCATTTACTAGTTTTTGAGCTTTTTTTCTCATTGCAACTAAACCTTGCGTTTCCAACTGACAATGATATTATTTAAACTCGAAATCGGAGCCGGAGATTTTTTAAATAATGGTTGGTGAGTAACTTTTAAAACTTAATTAAAACACGCTAGAATACAAAAAGTTTAAAGATTTTGACTCTACTTAACACTTAGTTTCATTTTTTTTTTTTTTTAATTTTATGTTAATGCCTCCACGCTCTTATGGATTCTTATAACTCTATTTTCTTCAGTTTTTAAATAAAATATTAAAACTGAGTAATTTTATTGTGACACATTTCAAGAAATCACAATCTTTTTTATCGCACCAAGTTGGAAGTTTTACTCTCCTACTATTTAAACTATATATTTATTGGAAACCATGTATCTTATACTGTGACCTTTCTGTTTGAGTAATTGACAACTACTTATTCTAAACTTGCTAATCCCTTTCGTTCACATTTTCTGATAAAAAAAAGTTTCGCAACTCTTTCTTGTTATTACATCAGTTGTAATGGCTGCTTTGAGCTATCCCAACAGAAGAATACGAGTTTATGGTAAATATATATTCATTGGTTTACAAGTTTATGGTAATGCGTATTTTTGGTAAGTCTAATCCACACCGAGAAGATGCGAAATTTATTTTTTGCGAACTTAGAGGTTATTAGAAACCTTTCCTAGGCAAAAGTTTCTAATAAGCTCTAACAACCTCTAAGAAATAAATGTCAAGACTCTCTGCTAATTTAAAAATTTCAATTTAATTATTATTAAATTGAAAATTTTAAATTAGTAAAATAATAACTAATTCAAAAAAAAGGTATGATTTTAACATCTACTCAACTAAGTTATAAAATACTTGAAAAGTAAAACTGAAAACTTTAAGATAAACTTTAACATTGACCTATTTTTAGGATTATACTATTTAGATATAGTCCTATTTCTAATAAAAAAACAACTTTTATTGCCATTAACTTGGCTTTAATAGCTGCCACGAGTTCTGTATTAAACACTTATCAATGGATAGCGGCAGCATTAAATCCAATATTAACAAATAATAGATAAATTTAACTTTTAAAATGAACTTTTCTTAGCCTAATTTGTGTCCTGAGTTAAAAATATACCAAAAAAGTTGTTCAACTTTTAATTATTATATTTTAATATAATCTAAAAATCAAAAACAAATTAACAATGTTTCCAAAACATCTAAAAACAACTCTTAAATAACATTTAATATACACTGTTACAAACAAAAAAACATGGATATTTTTTGTTGATATTTTTGCCATAAATTTTCTAATGAGTTTATAACATTTATATATAATTACATTTTTTTTTCAAATTTTATTCTAACTTTAAGTTCATTAACAAGTTTTTAAAGTCATGCAATAATCTCTTAGTGTTCAAAAACTATTACCATATAAATTTTGAGCAACCTCCCCAATCATATAGGGGATTTAAAATATTATCTTTAATTAAGTTATAAGTTCTTTTGACAATCAAATTCTGTTCCTCATTCAAATGTTCGGAGCGAAAGTTAATTTAACTCTTTTTTCGTGAATAAGTGAATATGTTGTTTTTATAAATGACTTTAATTTATAAGGTCATTTGTACTTTTTAAACAAAATTATAATATTGTTCAAATTATTCTTATTTTTAATATTACTAATTTGATAATTGAGTAAATGTATACAAAAATGTTTTAATGAAAATTTGTTGAAAATGAAGACAATTCCACCATTGTATAGTAAAACATTCCGACTCAGACCTTTTCGTACACATTGAATAGAGAGCTGAAATATTGTCTGTAAACTAAAAGGTTCTAGGTCAGTGACTTTTTTGAAGGTTTTTGTTTTTAACGAAAAATACCAATTAAAACACGTTATTTTAAAACTTTTTAGAACGTTTTTGTGTACATCGATTTAATTATAAAAATAATTTTTTTTTTTAAATTAAATTTCGTCAATGATTTTTGTTTGTTTTTTTTTATTACAAAAAGTCTCTTTAATGTAGTGGTTGATTTTTAATTTTTATAATTTTTTATTTTTTTAACTTTGCCGTTACAAATTATTACTTTTCTTTTGTAAAATATACGAATTTCGGGGGCAAGAAGAAAACAAAAACAATCTTATTGCCGAGCGTCTTATATCCGTACATAATAAAGTCGAGCGTTTTATATCCGCACAAAGTCACATTCAAAACTCGTCATTAAAAATTGATGATCATGTGTTTTTCTTAAGTTTAAGTTTAATAAGATTATTTTAGTTGATAATTATAGTTTTGTTATATTTGGGAATATATCTAAAAAATATATAATATATGTCTAGCTGAAATACCGAATTCTCCTGTTTTAAAATGTTATTTTAGAAAAATAGAAATCATTTTCTAAAAAAACATACTAAAACAAAAAAATATTGCATAAATAACACATATTTTGAATAATTTAATTCTTTTAACATATAAATAAAATGGTTTTTAAAATATCATCCATGAAAATATAAATTAAACAAAATACAAGATTAAATTTTAAATTGACTTAAACACAAGTATTGCGCTGTAAGAGGTTTCATAATTTGAAAATGCAGCGATTCCTTTTTTCACCAAACCGATTAGAATTATCTTATCAACAGCATCTTTAACTAATAGTATTTTTAATAGTTATGTTCAAATGAGGTCTTTTAATGTGCTGTTAAAAACCATATTAAACGCATTTAAAGACTTTATGGTAACCAATAATATAATAATGTCTACTTGCCTAAATAATACGATGTAATATTAATTTAATTATAAAAAAAAAATGATTTTGGTTAATAAATATATTTTTGTTAAAACACACTTAAGTGCTTAAACCATACTTAAAACATACTTGTTAAAACATACTTAAGTGCCAAATTTAAGTATGTTCTTGTTTATATCACATTAGAATGTTTAGGAAAATGTTGAAACAACCAGCTTATTTAGTTAGGGTGTCATTTTTATATGAATCGCATAAAAAAGGGGACATATTATGTGAATTTTTGTAGGACATGTCCCCTTTTTTAAGGTAGCGATTCATATAATCATAACCTTTGAACTTTGATTTTTAAAACCTGTCAACATAAATTTAGTGTAAGTCAATAAAAAATAAAAGTTACTAAAGTTTTGCCCTAGTACTTGTGGTAGGGATGGTAAATGTTTTAGGGAATTTGTTTTCCAGCCTCTAATCACTGGATGCGTAGATTAAAAATTATTTCTTAATATACGTATAAGTCATTGCTTAGCTACAGCTCGTGTTATGCGTATATTTCACAGTGACGTATTAACCCAGACAGCAAGTATATACTAGTCCGATAATGGCTACCCAGCAAACATGTTAGCGTTGAATCAACCTTGGAAAAACGGTAGCAAAAGATGTTGCGGAAACGTTGACAAAGAAATGGATTTTGCAAAGATATTTAACGTTGTAAAAGAGACGTTGATTAAACGTTGTAGCGTAACGTTAAAAAAAGTTACTGAAAGATGTTACAAAAATATCGCAATTAAACGTTGAAAAAGCGTTACTTAAAAAGCGTTGCATTAGCGTCGCAACTTAACGTTAAAAAAACGTTATTTGAAAAGCGTTACTTAACGTTGTTAAAGCAGTCAATTTTGCAAGGATTTGTAACGTTGCAACTTTAGGTTTTACTACCAATGCGTTAGTAGTAAAACGTCGATTTAACGTGACTCAAAGACGTCGAATAAAGGTTAAAATATAACGTTGAATCAACGCTTAAATGCGCTGAAGAAAAAATTGCAAAATATTGTTAAACGTAATTAAACTTGTCTATAATATATATTGAATTGGCCAATAAAACTAAATTGTATGTTAAACTCTGCACTTGCAATATTTCTAAATTCGATTTTTAATACAAACAGTAATATACAATAAAAAATATGAAAATATACAATTTATTTATATAAATTATACAATTTGTAGATATATAGATAAAAATATAAACATTTTTTAAGATTTATGAGTGTGTGATTAGGTTTACAGGATATCGTATCGATAAGCCAGGATATCATTGAGATACAGAATCTAAATCAAAAAATAAATCTTGTATCATTAGCAGCCTGTTAGCATATGTTTAAAAAAATGTTATTGAATTAGTATGATCATTATTAAATTTAAAAAGTAAAATTTATACATATATATATATATATATATATATATATATATATATATATATATATATATATAT